AGATCTTTAATAAATTAATAGTAAAGAGACAATAGACAAATTTGGGTTTCTATACTGGTTACAGGATTGTTCTCTTCCAGTTTTTCCATAGTTAAGAGTGACTTTATGTCACCTTAAATGCAAAGTTAGTTATTCAATACAAGAACACATGATTATAATAGACTTCATCACACGTGGCTGTTTTATGTTTCAGGGATTAAGTAAAACTATAGGCAGACATAACACATTAACAGATTACATGTCATTTAAAATATATAGGCTTTCATTTAAGTCTCTAGGTAAATTAAATTCTTGATCAACAGAATAGATTAAGAGTTATCCTATGGGATATTAAATATTTTAAATACTTTGGTCTGCATATTGGAATTAGCATTTATTTTAGGATAATACAAGAAATGCTCTGTGAGCAATGGGAAAGAACTTACTCTATAGCAGCAGGCTTTAAGAATTCATTATTTTATGTTTAGTAGTTCATACTCTAAATGTTTTTATAAGATAACCCATTTATTTCTTTCATGTACATTATACTTTTAATGCTCATAAAAATTAACTCTGGCCTAAGAGGACCGGGAAATTCAAAGCTAAATCTAACTAAGCCATCTTGAAGATACACTCTGTTCTGCTTTTAAGTGTGTGTGTATGTGTGTGTGTGCACGTGCATGCATTTAGCATACTGACTGACATTATTAAATCAATGGAAAAATATTACATACTTTTAAGTCTGCTGATAGCTTGCAACTCTAGGGAGTCAGATAGTACCTTTTAGCCCACCTTGCTCTGCCCTCTTGATAGATTTTGTTTTATAATCTGTTGTGGCCTACTGAAACTATCCTACTTTTTGAGAGTTTATTTCAGAAGCAAAATTCTCTTTCATTTTAGGCAAAGGGCACAACAAATACAAACACACATTGTCCTTGAGAATTCTGACAGGATTACTGTGTCATAGGGACTATGTGTTTTCTTAGAGTAGAAAGGTTAAGGTTTCATTATTTGCCAGAAGCACTGTAATTATAATTCTTTCAAAAATCCAAATTGAAAAAAAAAAAAGATGGTCTCTCAAATTGTAGTAAGTCATACTGTATGATTTTGGCTCATTTTATTCCATATTTTAATTAAATTGTATTTCTAAAAAATGGATACTAAAAGCATTCTCAAATATAAGCACCTAACTCCTGTGAATGATATCTGAGATCCTTGGTACTAAGACAGTAAAATAAGATCTCCAATAATTAAAAACTATAGTTTCATGTTACTGTATGATTTCAGCCAGTTTTCAAAAACGCATTAATGAAAAAATTAGCTCTCATGGTGTTAGGGAATAGGTAGGAATGGTGCAGCTAAATATTTCTTTTAAGATATTTTGTTTGTCATGCCAATTTACAACATGAAGAGTCCATTATGATTTTGGACAATTTCTACTGGGAGAAATGTGAACATCTTGGACAAAACATTTTTAATAGCTTATTTCAATTGAATGCTAATATTATTTTATTCTTAACCACATCAATGTAATAATTGATCAAGGTCCAGAACATTTAGTTTTAATAGGCTTTAGTTCATAGAAAACCAACTATATTGGATACAAATGGACTCAGTTCATGTTGAACTTGACTAGATAATGATTCAAACAATTTAAGCTACTTACTATATAATCATTGTATTGGGTGTTAAAAATATGATGACATTCTGCTCCATTGTATCTAGTTGATTAAACAGTGTGATTACATATAAAAAAATGAAAAGCAAAAATATCATGAGCCACTATAATCATTTATGTTCACTGGCATAGTATGTACTGCCATTAAGTTGTCATTCTGATTAAAAGATGTGGCAGGTCACACTTTCTAATACAGGTGACGTGCCCAGGCAAAAGCTTGATTAAAAAGTCCATAGTACGGTCTAAACCCATGAAAAACTAGTAAAATTAAATGTCAGCACAAATCCATTGATTATGATTGAAAACAATACTTCAGTGATTAAGAATCACTGTTTGGGGTACATTAGTACATGGAAAACACATTATAATAGAAACAAAGCATGTAATTCTATTTTGACATTAAAAAAGGAAAATTTGGGGGGGGGCATGGGCAATATATGTAACCTTAACACTTATACTGCCATAATACGCTAAAATGAAAAAAAAAAAAAAGGAAAATTTCTCATTACTTTATAGTCAGTAAGAGCTGAATATCTAAGGGCACCAACTGTTTCAAAGTGGAGTTTCTATTCTAGAGTTCTATTAATAATGAAAATATTCAACTTTAAAATGTCAAAAAAGCTAAATTTCAAAAACTTCCATCCATTTATGCAGAAAATACAAAAATATTGCCGTGTGTCTATCATCAGCAGTATGCAATCTTAGATATCAGATTAAGAACACATCTATATTCAGAAAGCAGGTGTGAATAAATATCAAACCATGCGACAGAATCTGGTACTAAATGTCATAATCAGTCTCTTGGTAAAAGATTGTATAAGTTTTTAGATATCTGATGACCCAATTTATATCTACTCTGTTATCCAAAGGGTATTTCTTTTTTGGCGGGGTGCGGGGCGGGGGGGTTGTTTGTTTGAGACAGGGTCTCGCTCTGTTGCCCGGGATAGAGTGCAGTATGTGATCATAGCTCACTGCAACCTTACACTCTCGGGCTCATGCCATCGTCCTGCCTCAGCCTCCCAAGTAGCTGGGACTACAGGCACAAGCCACCGCACCTGGCTAATTTTTCTATTTTTAGTAGAGACAGGGTCTTGCTCTTGCTCAGGCTGGTCTCTAACCCCTGAGCTCAAGCGATCCTCCCACCTGGGCCTCCCAGAGTGCTAGGATTACAGGCATGGGCCACTGTGCCCGGCCCAAAGGGTGATTCTTTATTTTACTTGATAATAGCAGAAAACGCTCAACTGTTCTTTTTCATTTTTATAAGTATATTGGATAGGGGGAAGTCAAGGAAAGGAGGGAAAAGTCTACATTTACCTCTGAAGAAAAGTTAATCTGCTGCTGCTCAGAACAAATACAGTCTTCTATGCTAAAATGGAGCAAGTTAACAACAGTTAGTGGATGCTAAAAAATATGCTCTGCTTTCTTCTATAAGGGTAGCAGGAGGGAGGGTGGGAGGGAGGAAGACAGCAAGACAGATCACCTGCCATATATCAGGATGAGAAAGGAGACTTCAAATTCAAACTGTGAGAGAAGTGAAGAAAAAGCTCATAACTGTGAGAAAGAATAAAATAAGGGCTTGAATTTAGAATGTGAGATTGATGAAGGACAGACTCTCAACTCAATGATTATAATGTGATTTCTTTGGAGAAAGACTGTAGGTGTCTGTGTTTACCTAGAATTAGGGCATCAGTGTGACAGAATGAGATTAGCTAAATGTATTTAACTAACAGGGAGGGAAATGGAAGCTGTAGCGGGGATGGGTGGAAATGAAGGAGTAAGAACAATCAGTAGACTGGAGCTCCCGATGAGGTCCAGAAAGTGTTGCAGGGAAGGCACCTAAACAGGCAGCTTAGAAAGACAGGAGGTGGTGGCAGAAGAGTGGGATATTGGATTACTGATTTTAGAAACAGTACATTTTCTGGTACCTACAAGGTACAAGGAGGGAACCAAATTGGGGAGGCCATGATGCTGGGCTGGTCATTTCTGTGGACAATTAAATCACCCAAAATGATGGCAGGAGACACACAACTATCCAGGAAGTGTAATGTCTCCAGTGAACTAGGAAATTGGTATAGGATAGTAATAAAAAAATGGAAGATGACGGTTGGTATAGCTAGCTGGCAGAAACCTCTGAGGAGGAAGAGATTTGTAGAAATGTAGGACAGAAATCATTTGTAAGTGGTACTGGGGATTAAAGATGCTGACCTCCAAACACCAAAATATGGGGCATGTATTTCTACTGAGACAGCTATGGGAATGTTTCCATTAATTGCGAAGGGAACATTGGGAAAAGAAACAAGAATATAGCTAAGAGTGTTGACTGTGGTGCTGATGTTCCAAGAGAGTAGAAATGTTGGGGAAGGACCCGGGGTCAGAGATGGGTGAGACAGGGGATTTGTAGAGATAAAGGGAATGGTTTCCCTTACTGGGCATAGGAAAGAGAGTTGTTAACAAAATAGGTAAACAAAGAGAAAACAGGAACAAGTGTTAGAGGAAATAGCATTTGAGATAAAGCTTCAAAGGTAGACTAGCATGATGTAGATAGGTAGAGCATGATGGTTCACAAAGTAGAGCAATGGTTTTCAATCAGGAGCTATTTTGTCTTTTAGGGGACACTTGATAATGTGTAAAGACATTTTTGTTGCTACTGGTATTTACAGAGTAGAGGCCAGGATGCTGCTAAACATCCTACAATGCACAGGGCAGTTCCCCAAACAAAGAATCATTCAGCTCAAAATGTTAACAGTGTCATGGGTGAGAAACCTTGAGGAAGAAGCAGTAGCAAAGGCATGGTTTAGTTCAGCTGAAGCAAAGGATAGTGGCAGGGGAACAGGAGATAAAGTAGGAAAGGAGGCTAGGATCACATGTATGCAGGCAAAGGAACTAGCACCTAATTTAGAGGATAAAGAGGAGCCACCAAAGGTCTTTGAGTAAATAAATGTCACTGAGTTGGCAGACTTTACATATGATTGGAGACTTATCAATAATTTGTTTTGGCCTGGCACTGTGGCTCACACCTGTGATCCTAGCATGCTGGGAGGCCAAGGTGGGAGGATCACTTGAGGTCAGGAGTTGGGGACCAGCCAGAGTAAGAGCAAGACGCCAAATGTACAAAAAGTAGAAAAATTAGCTGGGCATGGTGGTGTGCACCTGTAGTCCCAGTTATTTAGGAGGTTGAGGCAGGAGAATCTCTTGAGCCCAGGAGTTTGAGGCTGCAGTGAGCTATGATAGTGCCACTGCTCTCTAGCCAGGGCAACAGAGTAAGACTTTGTCTAAAAAAAAAAAAAAAAATCTTTTCTGTTTACAGGTACTTTTCATTTTCAGCATGACTATAATCACTCTTTACTGCTTTACTGATGTCTTTTCTCCTTACGAGAACAGTGAGGCCCTAGATAAGAGACATGATGTCCTGTAATGCTGACCTGGCACATACAGGAGTCTCAGAGTTTAAGCTATGCCACTTTCAACAGCCTATCACACACCTCCTTTAACTACTAAAAATAGAGAAAATAAGAAAAACTTTAATTTCCTCTGTCTTCATTTGCAGTGTCTGTTTAGAGGTGCTGAGGAACAAAGAAATGGCAGGAAGCATGAGGCAGAGAAAGAAAAAAAGAAAGACTGGAATCAACATAATAGGTATCTAAATTCCTCCTGAAAAAGTGAGAGTAAACAGCATTTCTAGATTTTTGGAAATAAAATTTTAAAAACCTAAAGCATGGGTCACTAAACTTCTCCAATCATTTTAATCCTTCCTCTTCAAGAAGAAAATTACTATTAACAACTTAAGCTTCTGAATTTGAACTGTTTTTTTAGCTATTTCATAAGTTTGTTTGGCTCACTTCAGTCAGCAGTTACCTTCTGTATTGATGGTAATTTATAAAAGCCTGAATACAGCCAAGGCAATCTGTTTCTAAGAAGAAAATCCTAAACTTAATTTAAGTTGCCTTCCCTGTTCTTCTCCCGGAAAATAATAGACACCAAACAAGGTCAGAAAGGCAATAACGGCCCCAAATGAATCAGATCCTGTCTGACAGGTAAGGAATTTTATCTGCTGGCAGGCATTCTGTTCAGAATGATACCACAATGCCAAAGAGTCACTAATTCCTTCTCTAGTGTAGCAAATGGAGCCCTGGCGACATTAAAGAGCTAATAGTATTTTCAACGGTACTTTGTTTATGCTCTGGGGAAGCTTGTGCACCAGACAATATTTCAGGGAACATTTATCAGAAAGTGAAGCCCAATTCTTCAAACTACATGCATGAATCAGGCCAGATAAAACTTACAATTGGAAGAATCTTCTACATCAGGAAAGAGAGAGCTTGTACCTCTCCCTGTACTTTTAATCAGCTCAAAGAAGTGTTTCCCTCTCTTCACAGATCAAATTTTGAGGGGTAGGGGTACTGAGACAGATTACAGAGCATATAAGAAATGTTACCAAGGCACAAATAAATTAACTGGTATTCTCTATTAATAGATAATAATTTCAGTGAAAATGAGATAAGAAATAAATGGGGCATTACTATTAAATGAATTTTAACAGAGAGGTACATTTTATTTTCCTTCTTTAAGAAAGAACATTTTAAGAGACATACGTGTGTAGACAGCAGTTTTTGTCATAGAAAGTTCAGAAACCTCACATTCTCTTCTAGCTGTTATCAGCTACAATAAATCTCCCTTCCATTTCATGCATTTAGAAAATACACTTTTAATATAGTGTAGTTAGCCTGATGGTTCCCTACAATAAGTAAAGATTGATAATTGTATTTTTATCCAACTGGGAAGTCGGCACCTTTTTCTAGTATTTTTAGTGGTTGAAGACCATATAGAATAACATGCCTCGTGTCTTAAGCAATCTCTGTCAGTGAAGGCATTTATTTCTCTAGATATTGTCAAAAAGAATACAGTGATAATCAGATGACTTTTTTGTTCTATTTGTTCATATATCAGAATGGAATGAAATAATAGCTAATCTTTATTGTATACTTATTATCCTCCAGGCACTGTGCTGTATACTTTGTATGTGTTCTCTCATTCGATTCCTCACCCTGCAAGGCAGGAACTATTAACATCCCCATTTTAACAAATGAGGCATTTGAAGCTTAGGCTAAACAATTTGCTTGGCATGTCAGTGGTAGAACCAGAATTGGAATCTGGAGCCAACATTCTTAACCACAGTGGTCCACCATTTTCATTTGTGACTGGCTTGCTAGTATGCCTTCCCTTCCTCCCTTCCTTCCTTCCAATATGCATCACTAGGCACCAGCATTGTATCAGGTGCTAGAGTAAAATTGGTGAATGGGGAAGATAGAGTCATTCTTCTCAAGAGCTGACATTCTATTAGGGGACAAAGTCGAGTAAACAAGCAGGTATAACAGAATAGTGGCCAAAGTATGCCACTACTGGGCGTTAAAGTAGGCTTCCCAGAAAAGAGAAGTCACAGATGAGACCTGATGGATATGTAACAGTCAGTCAGATGAAAGGAGGTAGGGGAGCTAAGAGTGTCTGGGGGCAGAGGAAAGAGCACGTAAGCTCCACGTGGCCGGAGCAGAGAAAGAGATGGGGATCAGCAAAAGCTAAGGCTGGAGCACTGGGTAGAGACCAGACCGGGAAGAGCCTTGTGTATCAAAGGGCCTTGTGTACAATGATAAGGAGTATGGAATTATTTGTAGGTAATGAGTTACCATACAGAGATTTTAAGCAAGGATAAGATCAGATTTCTAATTTAGATGCTAGGATGCTATTTGGAGACGAGACTAGAAGGGAAGAAGACTAATGGCTATGAGACCAGTCTGGAGACTGTCACAACAGAGTAAGCAAGAGGTAACTGCAGTCTAAACCTGAGTAGTTGCAACATAATGTACAGAAGTCAATGGTTTCAAAAGGCTTTTAGGAGGTGGAATCATGAAAATTTATGAACTGACTGGGTATGAGGAGTGAAAAAGAGAGGGATTAAGAATGACTCTTGGAGATGACTTAACACCAGATAGTGTTGTCACCCACTGAGATGGGAAACAAAGGAGGATGAGGAGGTTTTAAAGGAAAGATAACATGTTCTATTTTCAATATGTTGACTTTGAAATGCCTGTGGGTTACAGGAGTGGTGAAATCCATAAGAGAGATCTAGGATAGGAGATATAAATTTGGGAGATGGTGCCATAACTAATGTATTAATAATTGATGCAAAGTACAGAAGTCAGTGAAGTGCTCAAGAGGAGTGTTTAGTGTAAAAAGGGAACAGTACATAATCCTGAGCTTTAGCCACATCAATGGGATACCAAGAAGAAAAGGAGCCCACAGAGGGTTCTAAAAAGAAAGAAAACCAAGTTTCACAGTGGTCAAAGAAAGCAAGTATTACGAGAGCACAAAAGTAGTAAGCATCAGTAGTAATCTGCTGTCTAGAGATTAAATAGGAGCCAGAAGGGCAGAAGGTTGTGAGAGTTCTGGGAAATAAGGAAGAGAGATGTCCATGGGACTGGGTGCCTGAAATGAGGTGGGGGTGACAGACCATGGAGATGACTTAAATAGAACCCAAAGTTAAAGATTAAAACTATTTGGAAAATGATCCATGCAACGTATTCTTTATATAGTTGATTACAATTAGTTCATTAAAAAATGATCAGAGGCCTCTGGAAGCATGACTTAAAGCACAATTTTCAAAACTGTCTGGTCACAAGAACCCCACTGAATCTTTCCCCTACTCTTGCTCTGGTTGCCTTGGTGCTTTTCACTTCAGTGTCAGCTGAATTCTCACTCCCCGACTTTCCACTCCCATTCTAATGCTGGTCCCCTCCGGTATTCTTTGACATAGCACCTTGCCATATGTTTCTTCATGACTGAGATGACTCTTTACAATGGCACATTTTCTTGTTTATTTTCTCTCTTCCTGAAGGAGCTGTAAACTCCACAAAGGTAGGGATGGCTAGTTTTGTTCACATATGCACATAATAACTGTTCAATAAATATTTGATGACAGAATGACCGAATGGCAGAATGATTTTTGTAGCAGAATCTGAAATTAATTAAATTTTTATATAGTGTTTTCAAATAGAGAGTCATTATTTTATAGGTCATAAAATCATTTTCATTAACATTTTAAAATAAAGTATACCACATAGTATGAATAATCCTTGTTAGGTAAAAATGTTTGTATGTGTATATATCTATAAACATACATGGTGTAACTATGTGTGTACAGGTTGTGATATAAAATATATTGTTATAGTTCTCTCAGAAACATTCTAAAGCCTCTGCATCAAGCTATGTGATATTATCCCCATTTTTACAAATGAAACAGAGTCTCAAAGAACGAAAGGGACTGGCCCCAAACCTAGGCTGTGAGAGGAAGACTCTAAAGCCTGACCTGTTTGGATGGCATGACCATCACTCCCCATAGGGCCCTGCCCAAATCACTGTGTGTGGTTGTTACATAATATTCACTTATACTTCTGTGATTATAAATACCTGAAAAATATTTCCATTGGGTACCAAATGCCCAATTGACAACAGCTATTTTGTCTGATCTGAACAACTTTTATAGACTGAATTTAACAGCTAGTGACTTACATGGCCAAATTAATCATGCTCTAAGGAGATTATGTTTTTTACTTCTAAAACCATAAAATATAAATATGTGTCAAATATGTTTGCATAGAACCAAACAATAAATTATAATATATTATTATTTTGCATGCAGAAATATAGTTGTATTTTAAATACATGGGAAAGTATCATACTCCATGCAAAAATTACTACAAGTTATGTGAACCAAAGCAAGAAATTCCATGGTGTCATTTCTATGCAATAATTAACATATTATACTATGATAATAAAAAAGCAACAAAATAATATTTGATGCTTTTAAAAGATCACAAACAGGCTCTGTAACTATTTATGGTCAGCATACTGCTCTCTGTAGAAATATAATATAATAAGCATTCATTATACTTGATACTTCAATTGTTCTTTTAAAATATCATATTTAAAGTATTTATAGAATTTGCTCCTTCCTTTTCTTCATAACAAAAAAATTTGGTTAGTCTACTCTCTCAAAATATACCAACAATACCAAGCTTTAGAAATAGGAGTACCTTTTTTTTTTACCATTAAGTAGTTAGCACTCATAAGTTAAATAATATGTTTAACTTGGAAACAACCAGATAAATCCAGACATTCTATAAGTGTCCTTGACTCTTCAAAAAGTCAATAACCTTTTAAAAAACAAAAAAAGAAAGGCAAGGCTATAGCTAGATTAAGAAAGACTATGGAGAACTAACTACAAAATGCATATGTGAGTTTTGATTGGATCCTAAACAGGGAAGAAAACGTTGTGAAAGATTTTTTAGGACAACTGGGAAAATGTGAATATGTGTTGGTTATCAGATGACATTATGGAATTACTACTCATGTTTCTACATGTGCTAATTGTATTGTGGTTGTTCAGGAGACATCTTTATTCTTCAGAGATGCATGTTTAAATATTTAGAGGTGAAGTGCCAAGATGGCCACAACTCGCTTTCCAACAGTTCAGGGGAAAAAATTGATTTTGATATCTCTCTCTCTCTATTGCTATACACACACACTTAATTAGGTGGTAACTATAGAAACAAGATGCAAAATTCTCATGAACACAGATTCCCTTAGCAAAGCAAATTATGAAAAGTAGCAATTATTACTGGGGGCCTTTTAAATTTGCCTATAATGGTAAATTTTAACATACTAAAAGAAATGTACAGCCAAGTAAGAATATAATGAGTTAGACCAAAGTACTGATATAGAATGATTTCTAAGAAATTGAGTGAAAAAAGGAAGTTATAATAAAATAGGATGGAGGGCCATGTTTTTTGGTAATCTTTTTCATAACTATAAAATCATTCAAACAAAACAATCTATCAAAGATATAAGGAATAATAAATACACAAATACTCTGCTCCCTGCAAGTGCAAAGGGATCACCCCCTCTGCCACTCAAATCCAGTATGTCTCTGATGAATCTTTTTTTTGTTTGTTTGTTTTTTGAGAAGGAGTCTGGCTTTGTTGCCCAGGCTAGAGTGCTGTGGCGTCAGCCTAGCTCACAGCAACCTCAAACTCCTGGGCTCAAGCAATCAAGCTGCCTCAGCCTCCTGAGTAGCTGGGACTACAGGCACCATGCCCGGCTAATTTTTTCTATATATATTAGTTGGCCAATTAATTTCTTTCTATTTATAGTAGAGACGGGGTCTCCCTCTTGCTCAGGTTGGTTTTGAACTCCTGACCTCAAGCAATCCGCCCGCCTCAGCCTTCCAGAGTGCTAGGATTACAGGCATGAGCCACTGTGCCAGGCCTCTGATGAACCTTTTATCCCTCCTTTACAAAGCTTACTACTTTCTGTTTGTTATTCTCTACCCTCCATTGTAATTTACTATATATATACACATGTACACATACACAATATATATCATTTAGTTTTGCATGGTTTTGAACTCTACCTAAGTGCTATCACTCTTTTGAGACTTTAAGCTCAGCATTGTTTTGAGATTCATCCATGTTAATGTGTATAAGCTTTAGTTCTTTAATTTTTTCACTGTGTAATAAGAGCTGTCTTTTCAATTGATAATTATTGTAAATGTTATGATTATAAAATGTTATCTTATAGTTTTAACCTAATTTCTCTGATTTCTATAGATGCTGAACAAGGAGGTTTACTGGTCGTAATTTCCTATTTGTTGCTTTGTGATATGTCTGTTCATATTTTTTGCCCCTTTTTTTTACTAGTTTGTATTTTTTCTCAATTTATAGGAGTTATTTATTTTGAAACTCAATTCGAAGTTGATTATATATGTTGCATATATCTTCTCCTAATTTGTGGCTTGTCTTTCATTTTACTACAATATTATCTTCTGATGAATAGAGGTTTTACATTTAGATATAGTCATTACATCATTAAAAACATAAAATATAAAACCAAAATCACATATATTCTCTTGTGTGCAGAGAATATGCTCACGAAAACAATCTGGTGAACACAGACCAAAGTAATAACTGTGTTAATGTCTATATTATTAACCATATTAATAACTATGTTAATACCCTTTCAGGTCATGTGGGACTTTTGCTTTCTGCAACATATATCTGCAATGTTTGAATATTTAAAGTGAGTATGTATTACTTCCTTGTTAACCAAGTGACCTTCTTGGGAGCTTATATTTAAGTTTTAGGGTATTCATGAGCATAACATTTTATTTATATGAGCATTTTTCTTGGGAGAGTTTGCATAACTTTACCCAGATTCTGAAAGGGATTTGGGGATGTTAAGAATATAGTGCCAAGCAATTATGTAAAATGTATATTAAATGAAAGTTTAGAGGCAGAAAGACTCTTGGGTTCCATGGGGAATTTATTTAACCTCTACATGTCATCTTTACAATATGCGTAATGGGGTTAATAATAGATAAGCCTGGCCTTATACTTTACAAGTATTTGCTTATTTAATCCTCACAACAACCTTATGGAAGAAGTTCTAACTGCTCAATAAATGGTAGTTCTTATTCTTATTATTTATTCCTGTCTGTATTTCGGATAAAGAACTAAAAAAAAATTATGGTAGATTTGATGTTTTGATATACTTTTCTTTGGGAAGGTATAGAGAAGGGAGGGACTTTCCTGGATTAAGCCCTGGCACTAATAATAGGTACTCATAGCTATGAAATAACCAAGTGTAATATTGCTACAACAGAATAATATCTTTGTAAAGTTTCTCTCAGAAGTCTTTACTGTAGGAATAAACATGTATAATAAATACCAGAGAAGTTATAGCATACTTATAATAAAACATTTTTTATTACTTTGTCTCTCTAGTGCCACTTCCTTATCAGAGAACATAATGATAACATTGGAAACAACTGCAGTTTTTAGTAAACAGGTCCCTTCATCTTTGCTGATAAAGATCAACTACTTTTTAGAACTGAATTTGAATCAATTCAAACTGAATGCATTTAGAGGCAATTTGTAAGATAACCTTATGATTTCTTAAAGTTGGAGTGGTTTAATTTGTATTTTTAGAAAGCTGAATAAAATTCTTGAAAAATTTGTCCATTATTTTCTACATCTGCTTAGATAAAATTCCCATAGTCAAAGTTTCTAAGCTCTGTATATATTTCTGAGAAACTAACTATAGAGTTTTTAAAAGAAAGCCCATTCGGTAATGTATGTTTGAACTTATACAAACAAAAAACAATTTCACCAAAAGTTCCCTTTGTTAGATGTTGAATCTTTAACTATAAGAGGTCTACCAATTAAGCACAGTTTAAGTACTTAAAATATGCTAGCTGCCCTTAGGTTCTGTTCTCCTGCTAAAATGTGACTAGTCAACAGATACCCATCTATTCCCCATTTGGTACCAGGCACTAGAGAAATGACAGTGAACAGAACAAACAAAAATCTCTGCCCTCTTAGAGTTTATATTCTAGTAGGGGAAGATGTAATTTAAAAAATAAGTAAGTACATAGTATTCTAGAAGTTGAAAGGACTTTGAAAAAAAACTAAAGAGCAAGGGCAAAAGGGAGTGCTTGGAAACTGTAATTTTGAATATAGCAGCCCTCACTGAGAAATAAGATAACATTAAGGTAAAAATGTGAAGGAGGTATAATATATTTGGAATACTAACTTGAAGGAGGTGATATGGATATCTGGAGGATATCCTAGGCAGAGAAAATAGCTTCTCGACCCAAGCCCTAAGACTGGACCTCATCTTGTGTTTAAGAATAGCAAGGATGCTACTGGAGTGGTTACTGCAAGGCATCAAGTGGGAAAACAGTAGAATAAAAGGTTGAAGAGGTAATGGTGGGCCAAAGTATGTAGAGCCTAATGGGCTTTTTTAAGGACTTTGGCTAATTTTCTAAGTGTAGTGAAAAAGATACTGGAACATTTAAAAAAAAAATGATTTACATCTTTAAAGGATCACGGCAGCTCACATGTTAAAAACAGACTATAGGCGGACAAGGGTGGGAACAAGGAAGCCAGTAACTGTAAGGTTAGAAATGATGGTATCTTCGATTAAGATGATTACAGTGGAGGTAGTAAGAAGTGATCAGGTTGTTGATGTATTTCAAAGGAAGAATGAATACGATTTCCTAACAGACTTGATGTTGGGTATGATAGAAAGAGGCAGCAAAGATGATTCAAATATTTTTAGAAAGGAAATATCCCATTTAATGAGATGGGAAGATTATGGGCTGAGGTGATTCAGGAGGAAAGATCAGGGATTTGGGTTGAGAAACATGATCTGTAATGTCTATTAGACATAGACACAGAATGGAGATGGCTAGTAGGCAGTTGAATATGTGCTTTAGGAGCTTGGAGGAAGGTCCAGCCCAGAGATATATACATGTGTTATTAGTTCATAGAGTTGTTAGCATGTAGATGGTTGATTATCGAGGGTATGTAAGGAAAGAAAGATAAGATATTGTATAGCTCCACTAAATATACTATAAACAAATGTTACTGAGTATTAATGTGCACCTGGGTCTGAAATTCTGCTGCATTTTAAATTAAGACATAAAAGTATTGAAAAATCTACAATTCTAAATACAGAATGGATACAGTGATGCCTTGCTATAATGACATCCTTGAGGTTCATGCTACACTAGTGCTTGAGTCTAGTCATCTTTGAATCCTTGGTTCATAGCACAATGCTTGGCAGAGTAGACACTTTGTAAATAATTTTGAATTTGATGAATGAAGGGAAAGTATTTATGATATTAAAGAATTTGCAGGTTATGTTTTCCTTGACCAATGATACCATACTTGCCTTTTAAATGCCTAACAGGCCTCATCCACTCAGCACATAGTAACTAAGGAGGCATTCTGAGTGTAAGCTTTCAAGTTCTAAAAGTGAAACATATGCTTGGCCTGACCAATAAATGCACGGCTAAAGGCCATATAAAGTGGTATCTTTCCAGTTTTGTAATAAGCAGACAAATGATTTAATACAGAAAATGGTAAAGAATCCTTGGGTCAAGGGCTATATATTTATATCATCTCACCAATAGAACAGCCTCTAAATTCTTTTATTTGGCTACATATCAGGGCTAGATGTCAGAACCATGAAAACTATTTGGCAGAAACAAGACAGAGGGAACAGGGGTGGTTCTCTGAGAGATGGTTATAATCTATCTCACTTGCCACAGCTAAGATCTTACTTGGCTTGATATACATATATACCAAGGATATGATACTGTTCTTTCTCATTACTTTGTACAGTGACCCAGTCAGCCAGAGGCATCTATTTGCCTAGGGCAGGAGTTCTCAAGCTTTTTGGTCTCAGGACCTCTTTATACTCTTGGAAATTACTGAGGTCCCCAAAGAGATTTTATTTATGTGCGCTATACCTACTGATTTTACCATATTAAAAATTAAAACTGAGATATTTTAAAATACAAGAATACATAAGCAAATAAATAAGATGTCACAGCAACAGAGTCATTAAATGTTATGAAGTATCTGGAAAACTCCACTGTATACTTGTGAGACATTAAGAGTGAAAAAGACAAATATTGCCTTATGGTTTTTATGAAAATCATTTTGACCTCACAGACTCTCTGAAAGGGTTTTTAGGATTTTGGGGGATATCTTAACCACACATTGAGAACTGATGGCCTAAGGGAAGAATAGGATTGTTACAACAGAACTGCAAAAAGAGTCAATATTTAGATTTTGACTACCAAAATAGCAGCTTTTGAGCCTCTGGAGAAAAAAAGGTATAGTCAGGTTTTTCTGAGAATGAAAAAAAAATCCTTAAATTCCTACAATTCTATTTATATATTAAAAGCAAAACCCGGGGATCTGAACAAACTTTACTTTAAATTAGAGAGAACTGGAATAAGGATGTCAGGCTATCTCTGCAGGCCCTGAGAAGGCTTGGGGCAAGGAGAAGGCATTAGAAACCCAAGGAGGAAAGAAGAGACCCAATGCCAGTCACCTTGACTATTTCTCCTGGCCTCAATCTCGGGGTCCAACCTGAAGGGAGACAGCACTGAAAACACAGACACTGAAGAAGCTGGTGGGAAGGCAGAGTACCAAGGGAACCTATCCTCTCTTTCCCATTGGAACTCAGGGAGGAGCCTTTCTTTTAAAATGATAGGTACCTACAGGGGTTCTCCTCGGTGATACAGAAAAGAAAGTAGTAGAAGGTCTAACCTAGAAAAGAAATTGTAGAAGATGTAAACAGACGGAAAAATCTACCTTGCTCATGGACTGGCAGGCTCAACATTGTTAAGATGTCCATACTACCCAAAGTGATCTACAGAGTTAATGCAATCCCTATCAAAGTATCATCATCATTCTTTACAGAGATAGTATTCTCAAACTTCTCAATGCCACTGTGCATAATACACCTTTTAAAGTAAGTCTTTTTAATTTTGAATGTAATAAATCTCTTATTTAAATGACCAATGATTGGGACTGTTCCTTTTATTTATGCAAACCTACAAAAAGGAAAGTTGACCAACATACTCTACAAGGAAGGATATAGGTGGACAATAAGTATAGAAATTAATTCCTCAACACCAAGGCAGAAATTAGAAGGTCTTTGGTGCTGCATAACGAATTCTGAGGGCCATCAAAACAGAGAGATGAATATCTAAAGACATAACCAAAATATCACCAAAAAATCCAACTGTATCATTCATTTAAATGGAAAAACATAAAAGCACCCAAAAATATTTAAAAACTTGTTTAAAAAATCTTACATACAAATGGCATTTTCTAGGCATTACACAAAACACAGATACCATGAAAGAAAAAATAAAGTTTATTAATAAACATTTAACAATTCTATATGGTCCCCCAAAACACTTTAAACAAAGTAAAGAGTTATGCATGAAGCTGGAGAGATATACATTATATATCCAAAGCAAGACTAATTTCCTTAAGATGCAGAAAAATTTTATGAATAATGTTTTTCAAAATGAAAAGAAAAAATTCTAACAGAAAAATAGGCAACGTATATGAATAATTCAAAGAAAAAGAATTGTAAATGACCAGTGAATACATGAAAAGCTATATATTAATAACAACTCAAGAAATGGAAATCAAAATAAAATACGATTTTTTACCTATGAAACAAAAATATAAACATTTAAAATACCAAATGTTATATCTATTTTTCTATATGACTGAATAACCCATAATTAATAAATACATATTTAAAAAACAAAGGATAGAAAATACCCAATGTTGGCAAGAATAAGTACTTTCATACTTTTTTGTGGGAATGTAAATTGATATAGCCTTTGAAGGGAAGCTGTAATATTAGAATAAAAATAAAATTTTAATTCTTTGCTAATTCTAGCTTATTCTTTATCTTCTTTAGTATAATTTAAAATATTCCATGATAAAAGATAGTTAAAGGAAAAAATGCACATGTGCAACCTTAAAGTGCAGGGAATGTCTAACACTCCCATGATTGCACAAGAATATAGAGATGTGTGTACAAAAATGCTTAATGAAGCAATGCTGTAAACAGAAAAGGAAAATATACAAATGTATACCAAGAAATGAATATTTAATTAAATTATACTATTAATATCTCTATATAATGAAATACCATGAATATATTTGAAAAAAATGTCAATCTATATGTGCTGATATGTCAATATATCTGAATTAAGATAATCACAATGATCTATACACACAATTCCAAAAAAGGAAAAAAAATGATAAAAAAGGAAAGTGTGTGTCTATGTGTAGAGAACATTCCAAGAAGAAGAAACCGAAGATAGTGATCGCCTCTCCTTTATAAACTTATGTACTGTGTTAATTTCTTACCATAATTGTGTTACTTTTAAATAATTCAAAAACAAACCAAATAAATATTGACTTTGTAGCTCTCTGTTTTTAGCCCTGTAAGTTCACTTTTTTTGTAGATCAGCCTTTTCCATGGCCTCAACCATATAGAAGACTCCCAAACTATAGGCTCTGCCCTTGAACTTTTTTTGTAAGCTCTAGGGCCAAATTGACAATGGCCTCCTGCATGTATATCCCATCTATTTCCTCAAATACATGTGCATCTAAAATCAAATTCTCCCAAATCAAGAATGTCAGAAGAGATTAATGGTCTACATGTTCTCAGTCATTCATCTATTAATATCTTCTCTCTCAACTGGACTTTCAATACTAGAATTCCACTGTCAGACAAGAACCTGGATTCTGATATTTTCTCATTGTTTTTGAAGACAAATGCCTGTTTGTTAGTTATCAAATGAGCTGAAGAGATGGTGATACTGATTTTTTTTTGCAGCAATAATGGAATGTAACACAGTCTACCTTAGTTGATCAATGGCTATTTCTGCTGTGCATGGAGGGGTGGGCCGAGGGACTAAAAGCAAGGCTTTATTTTCTCAAGACAGATTACTGAAATGAGTAAAATAGTCAGAATAATGTATTGATACAGACTGATATGCTGACTGATATGCACTATTCAAAAACTCAAATCATTTAAGACTATTTGGCAGGCTGTAGAGAACTGAGTCACAATTGCCAGTGGTTGGATATGTGCCTTGGTTGTCAGAATAACAGAACTTTAAACCAAAATAGAGAATTTAGGAAGAGCAAGCAATCCATAAGGGAAAACACAGAAATGGTCAACTCACATATGAAAAAAAATTCTATTTCAATAATAATCTGAGATATGCATGTCAAATCAAAAATGAAATACCATTTTTTCATCCATCAAACTGGTAATAATCCAAAAAAGGTAATACCAATGCTGGCAAAGTTGGGACAAACAAGCACTCTTGTAAGTCTTTCTGTAAGGTGACACAGCAATGTTTCACCTTGTTAAGAATGTTCATACTTCTTTAACCATTTATTTCATTTTCAGAAACTCTCCTTGAGGAACTTATAAGACATGTGCATAAAATTAGGCACCACAGCAATAAAAAATTTTTAAGAAAACTGAAAGCAACTTAACTATTCAAAAAAGGACTAGTTAAATAAATTATGATATAATCATATAGTGAATAAGAGTTATTAAAAGCCTTATAATTTTGGCTTTTAATAAAAATTAATGAATAAAAATGTAAAAAAGAAAAAAATTATTGAGAATTCATTTACCTCATTACATGTCTTGCCTTCATAGGAAATTCTACTTATACTAAGAATCCCTGCTAGGCTGGGAGTGTTAGCTCATGCCTATAATCCTAGCACTTTGGGAGGCTGAGACAGGAGGATTCCTTGAGGCTAGGAGTTTGACATCAGCCTGGGCAACAGTGAGACCCCATCTCTACAAAAAGTAAAAAAAATGTAGCCAGTCATGGTGGCTCGTATCTGTAGTCGCAGCTAGTAGTCTGAGCAACAGAGCAAGACTGTCTCAAAAAAAACAAAAATTTTTTTTTCTTCTAGAGTTTATTATTTAGAAAAGTTTTATACTTCTTAAGGAGTTAGTGTATTATAGACAATAAGAACTGTAAATTCCTCCCCTTTATTTTATTAGGCCAATTTTTTAGCTGAACTATGTATGTATACATGTATATATTCATTCATTCATTTATTTATTTAGAGACAGAGTCTCACTCTGTTGCCTGGGCTAGAGTGCCATGGTGTCAGCCCAGCTCACAGCAACCTCAAACTCCTAGGCTTAAGCAATCCTTCTCCCTCAGCCTCCCAAGTAGCTGGGACTACAGGCATGCACCACATGCCCGGCTAATTTTTTCTATATATTTTTAGTTGTCCAGCTAATTTCTTTCTATTTGTTTTAGGAGAGCTGGGGTCTCGCTCTTGCTTAAGCTGGTCTTGAACTCCTGAGCTCAAAAGATCTGTCTGCCTCAACCTCCCAGAACACATGGCCCTGAACCGTGTAGTACTCTACAGGTCCAAGAATAGTAGGACTACCGCCTCCTACTATCTCCCTTGTCATCACATAGCAATTTGTAACTAATATGCACCTATTTCATTCTGCCACATATCACAGCTAGATTTGTCATCTTCTCCCAGTAACTAAATGGTCTTTGATGGCTGAAATCATTTCTTGTCATCTTTAGATCTCATATAATAAATAGCAGAGGCCTTCAGATAAAGCAGATACTCAATAAATGTTTGCTGAAATGGTTTCAAAAGCAGAGACAGGATTTTGAATAACACAATTATAATAGATTTTTAATATTTCCTCATACATTTTAACTTCTAAAAGGTCACGAAGGAAATTTCTTTACATTTTACAAAACAGATTGTTTAGTTCAAAATTTCAACTTCTATAAACAAATGCCTCTGACTTGTTTTATCACAAAATCAAAAAAATGTTGGTGCATAATGTTCTTATAAATTTATGGGGTACATGGGATATTTTATACATGCATACAATGTGTAATGATTAAATCAGAGTATTCAGGATATCCATCACCTCGAAACATTTATCATTTTTTCTGTCAGAAACATTTCAAATCTTCTAGGTATTTTGTAATATACAATATATTGTTGTTAACTAAAGTCAGCTTACTGTGCTATTGAACCCTAAAACTTCATCCTTCTAAGTATAGGTTTGTTCCCATTAACAAACCTCTCTTGATTACCCACTCCACACTTCCCAGCCTATGGTTAGCATCATTCTACTCTCTACCTTTGGAAATCACCTTTTTTAGTTCCTACATATGAATGAGAACATGTGGTATTTAACTTTCTGTGCCTGGCTTTTTTCACTTAATGTAATGACCTCCAGTACCATTGGAGTGTTCTTGCTTTTCTAGTTCCTTGAAGTGCATTGTTAGGTATAATCTCTCTACTTTCTTTCTTTTTTTTGAGACAGACTCTTGCTTTGGTGCCCAAGCTAGAGTGCGTGCCATGGCGTCAGCCTAGCTCACAGCAACCTCAAACTCCAGGGCTCAAGCAATCCTGCTGCCTCAGCCTCCCAAGTAGCTGGGACTACAGGCATGCACCACCATGCCTGGCTAATTTTTTCTATATATATTAGTTGGCCAATTAATTTCTTTCTGTTTATAGTAGAGACGGGGGTCTCGCTCTTGGTCAGGCGGGTTTCAAACTCCTGACCTGGAGCAATCCGCCCGCCTCGGCCTCCCAGAGTGCTAGGATTACAGG